AGAAAGGACGCTACTTGGAACAAAGTACCATTACTGGAAGAAGCAAACAAACTGGGTTGACCAAATCAATGGTAGGATGACCTGAAGAAGTTCGATGGATGAAGTTGAGTGAAAATAGCAAAAAACGCTCTGTGACAGTGTTTGAGATGCCGTCATTAGCCTGTGGATCAGCAAGGGTTGGTGATGGTATAACGAAGATTAGCTCCTGAACCATCCTTCGTGATGAGCGCGAGGTAGTTCTAGCGATTAGTATGACGCGGATGCATCTGGTGTTCAAATACCATGGAACCGAGGGTTGTTCGCACGCTTCCAGACAGCTAGGAACAGGGGACTTCTGATAGTGCACCGCAAAATCTGATCTTGCAAGATCTCATGAGTTATCTATCTTTAAAATGTACGCGACATCTGTCGACGTTATTTATTATTTTTGTTCATTTTATTTTTTATCGCATTAAATTGTGAGAATCTGCTAGAAGTAGTACTGTATACACATTTCTTGTCGCTCGTTCACGTTGCTGCTGACCAAGTCTGTACAGGGTGGTTATCGCTGTTCAACGGTAAATTTTGTGTGTTTCTAGTGGCGATTGGACTTGTACTTTTGTATTCATTCGGAAAGGAGTTTTACCAAAAAACAGTCTAGTAGTAGTATTCAATTTTAGAAGTACCTGCGTGGTTCATTTCAAGTTCTGTCTATCTTCCAAAAGAATTTTCCTGGGATCAGAGTACCGATTCCAAATTTAAGCTTCAGTTCAAATTTTTTATTACAAAGTTGGGAAGTTCGTAACTGTTTTCATTTCAGGGGAATATCGACAATTGCATGTCTAGCTATCATATGGCAGTGTTACTCCACCCTCTCTTCCCCCACGTTAAATTCCAAAGACTATTCAGTACCTCAGACAGGCTACGAGGATGGCAGATTGTCGAATCCAGTGGTAATTGATAGGAAAGAATTGGAAAGTGTATGTTTCATAAGCAGTATATTTTATTAGGCGCAAGATCGGTAGTGCCAGTTATGGAGAGTAAACAATGAACAATGTTTCGTTGACCTGAAGCATTGGGAATTGGATACTCTTTTGACAGTATTAGTGATTAATGTGTCTGAACTGCATGGTACTTCCTTTTAACCGTTAGTACTGAATTTATGTGAAACTGTGAATGTTTGTGTGTTTGACGCAAGTCGAATATTGGACTTATCACATAATAATAGCGCTAGGCTGCAAATGATGTTGGTATATTTTGTGAAAACGTTTATTAAGCTTTGCGATTTCGATAAGATTTATAAGTTAGATCTATCATCTTCACTAGCATGATCGCAAATACTGAGCCAATTCGTCGAAGCGTTAACTGTCTGTGATGGAGCGTAGCGCTGAATCCTACATCGCCCTCGTTTTAATAAGCTTTTAGGGCTGGTAAGAGGATTATACTTCACCGTGAAAATATCCAGTCTGCAACATAACATTCCTAGTGGACAAGTTCAGCATAATGTTCTGAAGACTTGTAGAGCAGCAGCTCGAAACAACAGCTGTATAGTGGCGAATCTCAACAGCCCAGCGATGCTGCAATTGGCGTAGTTGCTATAAAGCTTGTGACAAGCTAAACCGGCAAAAATTTTAAATCAGCTGCTTATTCTGCTATGGGATATTTTGCACTGTAGATTTGAATGTTCGAAAACAGTTGCCACAAGATCGCTTTTCTTATCCCCTCGCAACGCCGTTCT